CCTCCGCACTGTGCTCTCTGGTTTCTGCCCTGATTTCTGTCACTTGTGACTTGGGAGTATAAAACAAAATAAATCCTTTCCTCCCAAGATTATTTTTGTTCATGGCATTTATTAGCACTCACACTGAGCACACACACACACACACCAATATATACACATGCAAAATTTTCCTTTGTGGTACCATTATATACAGAGCTGTACTGAGAAAAGAAGTACTGTAGTTTGATGACTTATGTTGAAAATGAATTCCTATTGCAATGATGCTGAGCGATGTGACTAAAAGAAGTATGCACCCTCAGGAGGCTAAAGGCATTACAACAGAGGCAAGTGGGTTCTCATAGGAACAGGTTTTTAGAAGCCAGTCTGACTCCCTTAGTTTTCTCTGGACCCTTCCATGCCCTCTCTCTTCCGTGGACTCTCTCTTACTGTATGAACCGTACACCGTGTTACAGCATGCATGGCATGAAGGACTTCACCAGATGCTGGTCCCTCAGTCTTGGCTCTCTAGCCTTCAGACCTCTGAGAAATAACTTTATTCTCTTTATAAATGACCCATTCTACAGCAATTTGTTGTAGTGCCAGCAAATAACCACAACACACTGGGCAGCTGTCTTTTTCAGGCTACAATGGGTTTCTTTGGAGGGAAGAGTTGAGACAAGGTCTACCTATGTAATCCAAGCAAGCAATGAACTCACTGTGTAGCCCAGGCTAGACAAGAATTTCCAATATTCCTGCCTCAATGTCGCATTTGACATCATTGTCCCAGACTCTGCACACAGGAGCACTAAGTACAGTCACCTTGAAGGTCACTCAGCCTGGGTTGAGCAGGGAAACTCGGCTCTCCAGCGTCTCCCTACCCACCACCTTCCCAAATGTATCCACGTGCTTTCTAGTGCATACAAGGGTCCCTGTTGCTGAGGATTCTGGGATAGACAAAATATACCTGTGCCCACAACCGTGGGAAAGCTACAGACACCCTCATGAGCTCAGCCTTCTACCCACACTGAGTTTCTCAGAGCAGAGTTGAGGCCCAGCTGTGTGCTAAGTTGACTCTTTCTGATAGCCCTACTTACAGAGACGATATCACATCCTGCATGAGATGGGGCCCCAGAGATCTGAGGTGGCTTTCTCAAAACCACACAGCTGAGGTGCTGGGGATCGAGGAAGAGAAACTTCTGCCTTGTTCTAGAAGAATCCAGAAGCGGCCCAATAAGCTAAGAAGAGCCATTTATTCCTTTTCCAAATAAACCACCAAGGAAACACTTGGACATCTGGTTGTTTTGGTTTGGTTTTGGGGGGGTGGGAATGGTGGTGGTGGAGCGGGGTGGGGATGGCAATGATGGTGGTGGATGGGATGGTGTTGGATGGGATGGTGGTGGATGGGATGTGGTGGATGGGATGTGGTGGATGGTGGATGGTGGATGGTGATGGTGATGGTGGATGGGATGTGGTGGATGGTGGATGGTGGATGGGATGTGGTGGATGGGATGGTGGTGGATGGGATGTGGTGGATGGGATTGTGGTGGTTTGGTTCTAGTTTTTGTTCAGTTTATTTTCATTCCTTCTCTACTTTCACTCTCCCTCCTTCCCTCCCTGCCAGCCTCCAATGACTTAAAGAGGTGAGTTAGCTGCCTGGCCTGAGAGGAGACTCACTGGAAGATGGACAAGGCTGAAATCACTTCATATGGATCCCCTAAGCCTGGAGACTGTGGTGTGAAAGTCACCAAGCATGGAGACCTTCAGCATGGGCTGGGAACAGCTGGGAAAATGAAGAGGCAGCAGCAGACTATGGGTGCCTTTGCTGAGGCCCTGGTTGGACTGGGCAGGAGGCAGTGAGATGCCCCCTTCAAGCTGGTGTGTGCTGACCAAGAGTAAGAACTTCCCACTGTCAGCCCAAGCCCAAACACTTGCTGCTAGATTTTACTGAACTATCTCTCCCAAGGATTCCTTACCTTCCAAAGAGAGAGAAATGCCCCCTTGTCCTGTGTCCCCTAAGAGGATCTCTCTCCTCACATGTGTTTCCTGCCAGCTGTGGCGGGTGAAGAACAAAGCCACATTCATTTGCCTTGGGAAAATGCAGATGATGTGAGGCTGCTGACACCACGCGTCTCAGGTAGACCCACATGGGTTCCAGCTGCTGCTGGGAATTTTGTCCCAAACTCCCTCAGAAGACCATGGGCTTCCATGTCTCCTTTCCCTCCAAAAGCCATCACTTTCTCAGTGTTGATGAAGGCACAAGGCAGTTGGCAAGGACACAATAATTAACTCAGAGTGTGCCTTCAAGGCAATCACAATAATTTATGTTTCTCCAGCACCGCCATCCTATTGGGGCCTCCAGATTGCATGGCTATGACTCACCTCTCTGCTGCTGCGGGGTGACTCTGAGCTTGCCTCACACCACAGTCTAGGCAGAACATTTTTTAAATAATCATAAAGTGTAAAAAAAAAAATCAAAACCCTCAGCTAATTACAAGTGCAACGCTCCCTGTCATGCACAGGCCAGCTGACTTCATGCCTGGGCGGCAGAAATGTGATAAAACTCCCAAGTTGGTCCTTACATATTTTTAAGTCAGATGGCTCAGCTATGATCCCACAGCCTTATGTCCCAGCCAGCAGTTAAAATATGACCTAAGACGGGGCTGGTGACAGAGTGACTGCTTTGGGGGAATTTCATCAGAAGCCAGCTTTCCTATGGTGTCTTATCCTTTCTGGGGCTCCATGGCGAGGTCACCTGATGGCTCCAAGGCAGCCCCACACTTCCTCAGGGATAAGCCGCAATTGTTGCAATGCCGAAAGCTCTCCTATCTGTCCTAGACACTTGACCCTTGGCCATACTTGCCACATACTGTTATTCAATCACCAAATGTCTACTTGGAGACATAGTACCATAGTGGCTATGACTGTAATGTTTACATTAAGAAACTATGAGTTTGAATTTCATACCTATCCAGGACTAGCTACATGAACTTGGGCAAATAATTTTAGCTGAGCCTCATTCCTTCATCAGCAACAAAGAAGGAAGTGACGAAACCCCTGTGTGGGGCTTGGTGTGGCTACCTGAAGCATGACACAGTCATAAAGACAACTAACTAGATTGTGCTCCAGTGGCAACCCCAACTGTCTGTCTGGGTGAGGGGACCCAAGTGAGAATCTTCTACATCTCAAAGGGCCTGGGGTGCCTGCCTGACAATCACAAGAACCCAAGTTTGCCTTCCCAGAACCCACACTTGGCCTGATGGTGGATGCTTGTAATCCCAGCATTAAAAAAATGGAGATGATAAATCTCTGGGGTTTGATGGTTAAAGCCAGTCTATTATAGTTGACAAGCCCCCAGGTAACAGAGGGGGGGCAGGGAGGGAGGGAAAAACTGTCTCAAAAGAATGAATGGTGCTACCTGAGGAAGACACCCTCTGCCCTCCATACACACTACACATGTGTACACACACACACACACACACAAACCCAGAAACTGATTGTGCCAGATATTGAGCTAAAGATTAAAAGGGGAGGCTAGTCCTTGTACCCAAATGGGACAAGAAAGATATCCCAGATGCCACCTGAGAACCACCAAGGCATTGAGGGGGAAAATGATATCTAGTTCAAAACAAAGTCTTGTCTCTTGTGGGAGCCCAGCCACTCCTCTCTTCATAATTCCATGGCCCATACACTCTTGAGTTAAGTGCCTGGATCCATGGCCCAGATCCTTCAAGGTTGCACGGAAATGTTCCTTGCATCCAGAATGGCATCACTGCTAAAGGTCTGGAGAATCATTAAGAGGCAGCATTGTGCAGGACACATGGCATCCACAGCCCTCAACAGCTGCCTCTCGACGTGTCCCCAGTAAACCACATTCATGCCTTTGTGTGATACCAAGTTTTCTATCCAATCTGCTCTCCTCACCCCAGCACTGGACTCAGGAAAGAATCCTCTAGACAAATAGTTGCATCCTGTGGGGACACCACACCTTGAGCAGAAACCCACTTCCCCTTCGGCCTGGGAGCAGGCAGCTGTGAGATAATGTTTACTGAAAACAATTCAGTGCTATAAAGCTCTTGATAGGGCTCAGATAAGGGCTCACTGAAACACCATGACTTTGACACCCCCTTACGGCTAGATGCTTCTTCCTGTTCCCTGCGGTTTCTCCCCGATTCTGGGGCTGGAGATTAAACCACCAGCCAGGAAGGTGAGAAGTCTGGAAAGAATTGTATGTAGATGGATGGCAGAAGTCCTTAAAAAGGGGAAGCGGGTTTTTTTCTTGGAGAGAGCTCTCTCTCCTAGGCGGACTTGGGGTCTCCTCCTAAGCTGACTGGGGAAGGATAAAGTTTTCTTAAAGCAACTGACCGGTCTCTGTGTCATCTATCCCGACCACCTCGCTACATTCTCGGATGCAGGCCGCACAGCAGGTGCGACAGCATCCCCTAAGGATTTTCACATCAGAGTCCACAAAAGCATAAGGTCTCTAGAGCACAGAGCAGGACATAAGTGCTGCACTGAAGGTTCATAAGCAGGGTGCCAAGCACGGGGATAGCACAAGCTCTTGGTCTGCTGAGCTGTCAGCATTTGCTTCTGAACCAGGCCTTGAAGGACAGCTGTGGTCTGCTTGAGAGACCGTGTGAGAAGAGCCTGGAGGGTAGCAGAGGTGGGGCATGGCAGGAGCGATGAGGGGCACACCTGGCTGCCATCGTGAGGAAAGAGGCTGTGGAAGGAGAGGGGGTTGCAGAGCACAGGCTTCCAAACGCAGCACGAGCAGTTTCTTTCAGGAATCTGGGTCTCCGTGTGTGCCTGATGATCTGAAAGGAGGAGAATTCCCTGCCAGAGACAACACTGTGCGTGTTAACACCACCACCAGAACCACAGGGGGATGATCTGATACTTGAAGGAGAACAAAGGCCAACAATGGAAAAGATGGGGATTGGAGAAAATTAAACCCAGAACACGGGAGACCTGTGTCTTAGTTTCATTTCCTTTTGCTGTGATAAAATGCTCTGGATAGAAACAAGTTACGGGAGAAAGGGTTTATTTGACTCACAACTTTATGGAAGTCAAGGCAGCAGGACCTTGAAGCAACTGGTTACATCATAGCCATAGTCAAGACCAAACAGCAATAAATCAGTACGTGCATGCTATTGACAAGTTGGCTTTTCCATCTGTATACAGTCCAGTACTCCTGTGAGCCAAGGGAATAGTCCCACCCAACGTGGGCAGGTCCTCCATCAACAGTGAAGATAATTGAGGCAATGGCCACAGACATTCTCAGAGCCTCTTCTCCCAGGTGAGTCTAGATTCTGTCAAGTTGACAATTCAAACTAACCATCAGCTGGGCTTCTGAGTAAAGGACTAGGGGAAGAAGGGGGAAACGAAGATTTCAAGTCCAAGTGTGGACACAGGAGGGTATCAGTTTAAGAAGGAAATGGTGAGTCTGAGTGCACCAGTAGCAAGAAGGCTGTCATTTACCTTTTCTAGCTCCTAAAGGTTTACACATAAGACTTCAGTCCAACCCAGAAGTCAAGGAGGACAGCAACAAGCATTCCAAACTGGATGGGGAAAAGCCCTTGAAGCCTCCACCCAAAGAACTGCAGGCAACCGGGGAAAAGCCGGGAGTGAAAGAGGCAACCCTCACCAAGGAAGAGCATGCCAAGCGCTGTCCAGTGTCAAGTGGTCAGCCCTGAAAACACGCACACAGGTACACATCACACACTATCCGGACCCACCAGATTGTACTTGGGGATGCATATGTATATGCAAGTACATATATCCATCCCTACCCTGTCAGGAAGGGCAGAATGTGTCATTCTGTCCTCACGTCCCTGTTATACAGACCCCACATCTTCCTGCTGCACATCAGGGAAGCAGGGCTGTCAGGTCAAGATGCACTGGTCACACGCCAACCCGCAGCACACCCGGTCCACTGCGTGTGGGATGTGAAATGGGAAAGTCCCCTTGACCGCTCAGCTACTGTGTCTTCTCTGGCACTGAGCCCAACTGCACGCAGTCCAGGTGTCCATCCTGCTTCACTCAGCCAGCCCTCTTTGGCCTTCTTTCCATCTTGGTCCTATCAGAAGACAGCGGCACAGCGCACACCTCTCAACTGCCACAGCTCCAGGAAACCTCAGCAGGTCACGCAGACCATCGCCGCATTGCGTCCGGTGGGTGCTTCAACAGCCTCCCCTGATTTCCTCAGTGTGTGCGAGAAAGAAAACCTCATCGTGAGGTGTTAAGAGCCTAGGCGTGGGCTGGGGCACTGCTGGGGCAAATCCTTTGACGGGTGTGACATGGAAGTTGACTTTGGATCTGGTTTCCCCGGAGGAGGACCTGAGACAAGGATTTGAGTGTGTGTGAATTACACCAGAATCAAGGGCAACAGCTAAGGGAAGGATGCAGGGTCATCAGGTATCACACTGAAACCCGGTCCCCACGGGGAGCCATGCACCAAGCCTGTGCGTGCCGGTGATCCCACACTGAAGTAACCGATTCATCAAGGACTCAGATTGCAGAGCACATTGAGAGGTGGATGAGGCACAGACTCCTCAAAGGGAAAGGACTGCTGAGGGTGGAAAAACCAACCAGAGAAGTAGTAGCTGTGAGTCCTAAGCAGGCCTCTGGGGGAGCACGGCTCAGGTATGGGATCTGTGTGGGAGCACGGCTCAGGAATGGGATCTGTGTGGGAGCACGGCTCAGGAATGGGATCTGTGTGTGGGAGCACGGCTCAGCTATGGGATCTGTGTGGGAGCACGGCTCAGCTATGGGATCTGTGTGGGGAGCACGGCTCAGGAATGGGATCTGTGTGTGGGAGCACAGCTCAGGAATGGGATCTGTGTGGGAGCACGGCTCAGCTATGGGATCTGTGTGGGAGCACGGCTCAGCTATGGGATCTGTGTGGGAGCACGGCTCAGCTATGGGATCTGTGTGGGAGCACGGCTCAGGTATGGGATCTGTGTGGGAGCACGGCTCAGCTATGGGATCTGTGTGGGGAGCACGGCTCAGCTATGGGATCTGTGTGGGGAGCACGGCTCAGCTATGGGATCTGTGTGGGGAGCACGGCTCAGATATGGGATCTGTGTGGGAGCACGGCTCAGCTATAGGATCTGTGTGGGAGCACGGCTCAGGTATGGGATCTGTGTGGGGGGAGCATGGCTCAGCTATGGGATCTGTGTGGGGAGCACAGCTCAGGTATGGAATGTGTGTGGGAGCACAGTTCAGGTATGGGATCTGTGTGGGGTTCAGCAGCCTCTCCAAGCTTCCTTAGAGGAACTTAAGAAAATAAAAAGAACCTTGGTGCAGAGGCCTGGGGAGATTACCCAAACAGTAAACAATTGCTTTGCACATGTAAGGACCAGATTTGCATCCCCAGGACCCACTCCAAAAATAAAAAACAAAAACCAGACCTGGTTTCCCTGAGAAAGTAGAGAAAATGAATCCCTGGAGCTAACTGGGCAGCCAGGCCAGTGCCAGACCCCAATCAAGATGGATGGTACCTGAGGAGCAACTACAGTTGTTCTTACACACACACACACTCATAAACACATATACACACACATACACACACTCATACACACACTCATACACACACTCACACACACACTCACACACACACTCATAAACACACATATACACACACATACACACACATACACACACATACATGCACATATACACTCACTCATACACACAGAGTCACTCATACACACTCACTAATACACACACACTCACACACACACTCATAAACACACATATACACACACATACACACACTCATAGACACACTCATACACACTCACTAATACACACACATACACATTCATACACGCACATACACACACACTCATACACACACACACAAACACACACACAGAGTTTTCAGGGTCAGCACCTGAGGGAGAAGATAGATGAGGTGACTGCCGAAGACACATTTCTCTATGCTAGAATCTCCCCCTTACCTAATTCATTCATTCGTTCATTCGTTTACCTCACACATTCAGCAGTCTGTTGTGGAATTCAGGCCTCAGGATGGATCAGTACACTGAGTCTGCACAGCAGCTCTGCTTTCTACCATGTCTTTTTGGACGAGGAATACAACCTCTCTGTCTCCGTTTTCTCATTTGCTGCAAAGAGATAATAACAAAATGATCTTAGTGAATTGTAAAGAATAATGAAGCATGGATTCTGCCCAGAACAGGAAACTGTGACCTTTGACCTTATTATTAGCATCTGTTGGGTCTCAACCCTAGGACGAACAGCTAGCTGGGTGCCTGTTTAACGCATCAAATGGGACCTGGCCACAGGTGCTCCCAGTCCCTGCTCATTACAGGCTGAGCCCCCACCCTGAGCTCACCAAGTCAGAGGCTGGGCTGCCCTCCCTCCTTGTCCCTTCTCTGTATGACCCAGCCATCTGGCCACGCTGCCCCTCTTTTGGCCTGTCGGTCTCTTCACCTTCTGGTCCCCAACCCCACACGGCCCAGCCCAGGGTCAAGTTCACTCGGGACTCTCCCAGCCGTCTCTGGCTCTGGCTCTGCTCCCCCTCATATCTGCGTTGAGCCTTCTCCTCAGCACACCTCAGAGCAGCCGGGTCTTCCGTTTTCATTTCCTTTTTCTTTCACTGTCACTATTGTTATCACTACTTTCAAACAGGAGCCTGCTCCCTTCTGACCATGATTCCTTCTGGGCGAGAGGGGTCCCGCCTCCCTTCTGCTTTCTCTCCAGTGTGCTCCAGGATAGGGAACTATTCCTTTATTCTGATAAGTTCAGGGAGGAAATTGTGCCTGTGCCCTGGTGTCTTTCTCTTTCTCTCTTTCTCTTTCTCTTTCTCTTTCTCTTTCTCTTTCTCTCTCTCTCTCTCTCTCTCTTTCTCTTTCTTCCTCTCTCTCTTTCTCTTGGGTAGAGTCAGTGTGCCTGCAAGGACTTGGTCTCACAGTTCATCTCCTTGGGCCTTTGCTGCTCTGCTAAGAATGGGGTCAGGCATCTTCATGGGTTGGAAGCCACGAACCAAGAAATCCAGCAGCCACCAATAGTGAGTGGTCAAGATTCCCAGGATCACTTTATCCAGGCTTCAAAGGCCACGGTGTGTCTGGTCTCCATGGCCCATGTTCACTTCTCAAGCAGAGTTTAGAACTCTAGTGGGAAAGAGAGATGCAACTTATTAGGTGGTCCCCTCAAGCCCCAACAATCAGAAACACAGGGAAACAGTTCAAAGAGAGAACTGATTTCAAATCGAGGGACTTCTTTGCCCCTGAGCCCCATCAGCATTCCCCCAACACTCCAAAGCCTTGATGATCCTGTGATTTCAAACCAAAATTACAGTTTCATCACATAAAAGACAGAAGGGACTCTCGGCCTACAGTTTCTTAACCCCTTCATTGCCCACCCCCTCCTCTAAGCCAAGGGTAACAGTTTTCATTACTGCCTTCCAGGTTTAGCTGTCCCTCCCTGCGGAATTCCAGATCCTTATCCAGGCCCTCATGCAGGACTCAACTTCTTTTATGTGGTTTTTGCTTTATGGGCTCCTGGGGTGAAGCTGCCTTTAGTAAAGGAAGAATGCCTTTGGCTCCCTGATGATTATGTAGGCTGGCTCTTGTTTGGAAATGGTGATTGCATGAAGCAGGGAGATGCTGAGATTAGGGCCAGAGCATTCCAGCTCAATAAATCAATCCTTTTAATTGTGTGGTTGTCAGCCTACACTCTTCTCTAGACAGGAGTGCAGGGAGCTCCCTAGCAGAGTGGCTCCTAGCAGAGTGGTTCCTAGCAGAGTGGTTCCTAGCAGAGTGGCTCCTAGCAGAGTGGCTCCTAGCAGAGTGGCTCCTAGCAGAGTGGTTCCTAGCAGAGGAGTGGTTCCTAGCAGAGTGGTTCCTAGCAGAGTGGCTCCTAGCAGAGTGGCTCCTAGCAGAGTGGCTCCTAGCAGAGTGGCTCCTAGCAGAGTGGTTCCTAGCAGAGTGGTCCCTAGCAGAGTGGTCCCTAGCAGAGTGGTCCCTAGCAGAGTGGTCCCTAGCAGAGTGGTTCCTAGCAGAGTGGTTCCTAGCAGAGTGGCTCCTAGCAGAGTGGCTCCTAGCAGAGTGGTTCCTAGCAGAGGAGTGGTTCCTAGCAGAGTGGTTCCTAGCAGAGTGGTTCCTAGCAGAGTGGCTCCTAGCAGAGTGGCTCCTAGCAGAGTGGCTCCTAGCAGAGTGGTTCCTAGCAGAGTGGTCCCTAGCAGAGTGGTCCCTAGCAGAGTGGTCCCTAGCAGAGTGGTCCCTAGCAGAGTGGTTCCTAGCAGAGTGGTTCCTAGCAGAGTGGCTCCTAGCAGAGTGGTCCCTAGCAGAGTGGTTCCTAGCAGAGTGGTTCCTAGCAGAGTGGCTCCTAGCAGAGTGGTCCCTAGCAGAGTGGTCCCTAGCAGAATGGTCCCTAGCAGAGTGGTTCCTAGCAGAGTGGCTCCTAGCAGAGTGGCTCCTCTGTCTTCTCTGTGTGCTCAGCTGATTGTCAGCTAGATGAAGCAATTGACAGGCCAGCTATAGAAGGGTTCCCAGGTCTGTCTCAGTCCCAAGAAAGATGCCACAGGGGTCATAAATAAGCTGATATCCAGTTTGGGAATTCACCTCTGTAAACAACCTGATGCGGACTCCTTTGGTGAGATTGATGGGCACACTCACTTTGCATTTCTAATGCCTGTAAGCTGAAGAGCAAGGGAACCGCTGGCTATGGTTTCCCATGGACGCCCAGAGCTGTTCAACAGTACTGCTTCCAGAGGGCAGGAGCACTTTCCTTCCTTGTCCTCCCTTCCTGTCTTGCTGTCAGCAGCAAGGAGCTGGTGGCAGCAGGCTGACACCCACTGATTGGAGGGAGCGTTTAGTCATGCTATTCACAATGACTTCTGGGCATTACACAGTGTTTGCTTTTGAGCAGGAGTGACTCCTGGCTTCCATTTGCTTCTCGGGTGTCAATCCACAGGGCTCACCAGGACCTGTGGAAATGTAGAGTCTAGCTCAGTGCTTCCGAAGAGGGGCTGTTTTTAACACTCTCAAAAGCCGCAGTGTGTCCCTCTGGCACCATCCACCTTATTTTGAGACGGGCGGTCTCTCTGGCTGCCTGCAGCTTGCTGGCTCAGCCGGCTGGCCAGTAAAGCCAAGGATCCACCTGTTTGCCCTCTCTCCAGTGCCGGGGTTACAAGCACTTCCGTCAAACCAGCTTTTCACATGGATCTGAGGATCGAACTCGGATTCTCAAGCCATCTTCCCAGCCCATCAACCATGCTTCCATCAAATTCTCCAATGCCACATGCTGCTCATCGAGAGACCAGACTTTAAGTCCCAAGGATCTAGAATTCACTTTCATTTCACCTGGGTGGTCCTTAATGTTGTCCTTTTACACAGGGCTCCCTGCCTTTACAGACCTCACACGCTATTTCAGCATACCTGTCACTATCTCATGAGACACACGTGCTCAGGCTAACGGCAGTTCCAGCACAGCCCATCGCCAACCTCTGATCTGTGTCATTGATCTGACAGCAGAATTGTATCGAATACCTACATCCCACTGGGCCCTAGCTACAAGTAAGTTTCTTCTCCCCAAAGACCTCAGCGTCTAACACACAGTGAGCCCTGTGCGAGAGCTAACGCGTACTTGCCACCAGTTCCTCATTGGCCTGGCCCACAGGGCACAACGAAGGTCGAGCCCACAGGAACCTGGAATGACAAGAGACATGAGGAGTGGACAGCAAGGCAACATGGCAGATCAAGCTGTGAGATTTTATCTTTCTCAGGTCCATTATATAGTGGTTTAGGATGGGGGGGAGAGGGGGAACTAGGTATGGCAGAGTAATCAAAGGAGGGGGTTGTTGCCTAGTAACCAGGCCACTGAAGGTGAGCAGCTAACAGTGTTGGCAAGGAGAAAGGGGGTAAGTGATCTAATTGTGGAAGGTTTCCTTTTTGCCTTCGGCTATTCCTGCCAGCCCAAGTTCTATTCACTAGGAAGCTGGGGAGGGGATGGACTATTCTTTAAGGAGGCCTGCCATGTTTACAAGAGGTTCTAAATAACAATGATGGCTCCCAACACCTCATCTGTGAAAGGAAGATCACAGCTACTCCTGCATCTGAGAGTGGCTATGCGGGACCTGAACTAATTAATACCTGTCAGGTTTTCAGATGTTGCTGTTGCCATACTGGTTTCCTTTCTCTTGCTGTAATGAAGCACTTGGGCCAAAAGCAACTTGCAGGGAAAGGGTCTGTTTCCGTTTCCAGGTCACAGTCTATTACTGATGGTTTCCAGGACAGGAAGTGAAGCAGGAACTTGAAGCAGAAGCAATGGAGGAACACTGCTCATCACTGGCTCAATCCCAGGCTCATGCTTAGTTAGCTTTTGTCTTAGTTAGGGTTTTCTATTACTGTGAACTACAGCAACTCTTACAAAGGGAAACATTTAGCTGTGATGGTTTGCTCATAATGTCATCATGGCAGGAAATGTGACACCGTGCAGGCTGGTGATGGAGAAGGAGCTGAGAATTCTACATTTTGATCCACAGGCAGCAGGAAAGAGACTGCCACGCTAGGCCTAGCTTGAGCATATAAAACCTCAAAGCCCGCCTACACAGTAACATACTTCCTCCAACAAGACTACGCTCTTAAACCTATTCAAACAGCACCACCACCTGGGACCAAGTACTTAAACATCTGAGCCTATCAGGGACAGTCTCATCCAAACCACCACCGACAGTGTGAAGACTCACTCTACTTTCTGTTTGCAGTTTTAGATGTGAGCCTTCAGTTTCTGTGCCAGCCACGGCATCTGCTGGTCAACCATGCTTTCCCCACTATCATGGACTTTAACCCTCTGGAACAATAACCCCAAGTAAACCTTTCCTTCTATAAATTGCCTTGGCCACAGTGTTGCATCACAGCAGGTGGGGGTGACTCTCTACTGGGAGCCTGAGGCTGCTTGCTCCCATCTGGGAAGATCAGGAAGCAGAGAAAGATGGGTAGAGCAGAGACAGTTTATAAACCCAAGACCTGGCACCAGCAGCATACTTCCTCCAGCTAGGGAACCTCCTAAGAGTTCCACAACTTCCCAGACTAGCCCCCACCAGCCAGGGACCAAGTTTGCAAACACTTGAGCCTTTGTGTGACATTCCCAAGCCATAACACCCAAGGGCCATAGTTATTAGTTGCAAAGTCTCTACCCTAGCATGGAGATAACATGATACACCCCTAAGCCACTCCTATCCTTCTGGAAGACTTTGCTGAATGAGATTGAGCCTCTCCACCTCTAAGCAAGCCACCTTCGTGAGTGGTGACCCAGTGCACCCTGGGACCTTCACTCTACCTTCCTGCTCCAAGGATCTATTGCTGAGGCCACATCTAGACCTTGACTTCCAGAGAAGCAACCCCCCAAACACACTTCTAAAATCTTAAACTCAAACAATTTACTTCCTACAAAAGGATCCTATTTCAAGAAAATACCTTCAGTGAGAATTTCCTGACATGCCAGTCAAATGTATAGATCCCAGACTCCACCTAAGGCTACTGACTTAGGAACTGTAAGAGGTGTATGTTTTTAACTGCAAGCTTAATCCTCCCCTAGGCGCCACTTACGCTTGGTTGAGTTACTCCTAGGAGCCCAACTTGGACACTATCCTCACCACACGTGTCCTTCAAATCCAGGGAGCCTTGGGTTTGACGCTTCTGTTTCCTCTCTACCAGCCCTGTGGGTCTTCATTTCCTTCCCATCCAGGACAGAACCCATGCTCCACCACTTCCTTTTGCCACTGGACTATCTTTACCCAGCAGAATCCCAGCCTCGGGAGGAAATCACTGCTTGTTTTTCACTAGGGCTTGTTGACTCATTTGCCCTGCCAGTGAGACTTTGCCTGATGCCCCGGCATTCCAACCACTGTGTACAGCAATACAGCTTAGGTGTCACAGCATGTGTAAAACAGAGAGACAGAGATTATGATTATTTTCTCCTGACAAGTCCACAGATGACTAGAAAGAAGCATAAAACTGTTCTGCTGTTTTGTTCTAAACTCAGAGATAGAAGTGAGTGTAGAACACACACATGTGTGAGAGAGTATCCCAACCCCTGGAAGGGTAGAACGAGACTGAGGACAACTGGGTGTCCCGCACATTCTTGTCATTCCAGCACTCAAGAGATGGAAGCAAGACGATCAGAAGCACAAGGTCATCTTGAGCTGCACAGAGTTCCAGGCCAGCCTGGGCTCCAGGAGACCTATGTGGGGAAGGGGAAAAGAAGACTAAGGAAAACCTACATAGATGATGTTTCCCAGGTGAGCCTAAAGAAAACAATGAGCAAACACAGGGGAAAGGAAATGCGTTACATACAGACCAAGAGTCTGCACAAGAATCCGTGTGGACTGGACAGGCAGAGCAAGAGCAGCCTGTGGTGCAATTAGGAGCTGTTGAGGCAGGAAGTTCACAGCGTGGATTGTGAGAGCATTTCCCA